ATATATTATAATAATAATTACTTATAAAGTATAATAGAAGATTTGATGTATGATGTATCCTTCCAAAAAAAAGTACTAACAATTATAACTTAAGCAAAAAAATAAAAAAATAAATAAAAAAAATAAAAACTTAACATAATTTGTGAAATATGAAGGTTCTTTTTTGGGAAAATATATAATATTAACATAATTTATGAAATATAAAGCTTTTTGTATTTTGGGAAGGTATATATTAATTATGTACTACGTTTATTAGAAGATCATTTTTTTTGTTTGAGGAAACAACAAGATCATATATTTTTTTTCCCCTTAAAAAAATCATATTTTTTTCTTGAATTTATTTATTTTAAAAATTATGTAATAGAAGCTACAAATTTTTACAATGAAATGCAAATATAAAATCAACAAATGATATTTTTGTTATTTCCTTGGATAATTTATGATCTAAATTTTAATCAATTCATAATCTATAATTACCTATGGACACTTCAATAATACTGCCAAGTTCGACACATGTTGATTATTCTTAGTGTTTTTTTTTTAATTTTATTTATTCAGCATTCAACTGATATGATAAAAAAGATAACATATTAAAATTACAATGTTAATTTGAATAATAGAAATTACCGTGCATGGCACGGGACCTAACCTAGTTATACATATATTCTACAATTATGTATTTATTCCATTACGATCATCTTAGATTAAGTAATTATTTACAAAATTCAAAAGAAATAGTATGCAATATTAACTAAATATATATTATCATCTAAGATTCCTATAATACAACCATGTTTTTTTTTTTCCTTTTATTTGTTTCAACTTTACTATTGCTACAAAGTTTATTTCAATTTTTTTAACAAAACTCTTTGTAACGATAATCGTACACTGTTGTATTCAAAAAACAAAAAAATAAAAATAAAAATAATCGTACACTGTTAGATGGGATTTGAGCTAGTAAAAACGTAGTAATAAAAATCTTTAGTGATTACACGTTCAAAAAAATTCTCTTGTGATCCCAAATTCAAAAAAGTTCTATAACTAGAGATTTCACTAATTTATGATTTAATCTTATAATAAAAATTTACAAATCTCATAATTTATACGAAAAAACTTCCATTTTAAACCTACTTCCTTCTATTATTGTTAGATCTCTCGCAGCGGAAATATAGCTTCTACGGAAACTAGATAATATGAAATCGATACTTAACAAATAAATAATATTTTGGGATAGGCAAACATTTACTACTATGAAAAAATAATAAATGTAAGAAATAATATTTCTTAAACTAAACTTTTTATTATATGAATGATTAGTTTTTATTTATAAACATTACAAACAAAGCATTATATATAATAACTTAATGTAAAAAAAATGGCTAAAACTATTTAACTAAACAAACACCATAACAGGTTTGCAAAATGAACTTCTTCCCTTGTGCTATTCTCAATTTAGAGAAACAATCAAACAAACGATATGGTTAATTGTAGATAGTCTATAATAACTTAGTGCTAAAAAAAAAAAAAAAAAAAAAGAGTGGCTGAAACCGTTTTGCCATCACACTATTACATTATTGGAAAACCTCCTTTTCTATTACATTATTTATCTATTCTCCATTTAGAGAAACAAAGCTGTCAAAAAAAATAAATTAGAAAAACAAATTATATGATTAAATAGGTTAATTATAGATAGCCATATATTCCCACAAGTATATATAAGCCATTGTTCATTAACAATTTTATTCACAACTAAAATTTTAATTTCTAAAGTCATTCTGATTAAGTCACATTAAATTTGTTATTTGAAAGACAGTTATTTTTTTAACATGGTGGGAAGGTCAACAATGGTCCCTTTTTTTCTTATACTAATGCTTGTCTTTATGTCTCAAGGTAAATTTAAATTCCATATTTAATGATTAATAGTATATACATATTTTAAAACTAAATTATATAGATTACGTAAAGTTTTGAGTAGAGATTCTCATCACAAATCCATCTTTCACCTTCTTCAATTATTCTCATGAAAAATGGCTACACATACCCTAAAAAATGGGTAAATTTTGTCCTTATTTTCCTAGGTTTATACAGTAGTATACCCTTTTTCTAAATAAATGTTCATATAATCTTATTATACACAATACCCCAACTTGTTTCGAGTACACGTAAACCTAGGTTTACTCAACGGTGAATTTTATTTGTAGTTTTTTCTCATTAATTCGACCAATAATATTTCTTATATTCGTAGTAGTATTGTTTCTTACTATTATTTTGGCATGCAGGAATTGTGAAGAATGATGCACAAAGAATATGCTCAACTCCTTATGATAACAAACTAGACTGCACTCTTCTTGTTTGTGGAGAAAATTGCTGAAAAAATAAAAATCATGCAAGAGGTGTATGCATTGAAACTCCAACGGGAAGTGATAAATACAGATGTTATTGTAACTCTCCTTGTTGATCTTACACATTACTATATTTTGTTACATACTTCGTAATATGGAGTACTATGTTATGATGGCTCTAATAAGGGCCTTTAAATAAATTGCATGCACACATGGCTCATAATGAGCTTTTAAAAAAATAACATGCACTCATAATGTATAATAATTTTTATTCTTAATGAAATTTGAATTTTTTGGTTGACAAATTTTTACATATTCTCTTCTTATGCATCAAAGTAAGTAAGTAACAAAACTAGTGAGAGTATAAACTTTACTTTATTTCTAATTCATTCTTTATATTTTACCAATAATTACCACCAATGTATAAAAAATTTGTGAATTTTTTCACATATATTCCCTGGCCTTAAAGATAAGAAGTAAAGTAAGGCCTTAGCGTTGGAAAACCATGCATTATGTTACATGTGTATGTTGCTCGAGCTTAGGTACATTTCTTTGGTGCTTAAAGAGCTCTTGGGGCCGGGGTCTCAATTTGTTAGAGATATCGGAAAATATATGTGTGATATATTTTCCGTAGATATCATTTAAGTAAATAATATATTTAATTAGGATATTTATGTTAAGATATTATTTTGAGAATATATCTTTAAGGTTTATGGTTAGACTTATATCTTTTAGGAAGATTGTTTCCTATCTTATGAGCTTAGGTTTTGTATAAATACTCAACCTATTGATGAATAATAATCAAGCCATTCTATTCTATTTCTCTCTAATTTGTCATGGTATCAAGAGCAGGTTAAATCTTGGGACCGCTCACAAAAATTTCCCCCCCTGCCGGTGGGTTAGAAAGTTAAACCCACCGGTGGGATTCAAAATTTTGCTTCCGCTATGCAATATTAATATTTTTTAAATTTTTATTTTTTTGGGTTGGTACACGTATCATATATGTGTATGTGAATTTTTTTTTTTGGGAGAATTTTTTTTTTTTTGGGAGTATGTGAGTGGACTTCCTCCACTATAACACATCTTTGGAGATGAAAAAATTAAAAAACGGCTCTCTTGTGTCGTGAGACAAGATATATTTGGTTCTCCTTGTGCCGTGAGACAAGGTTTGTGAGTTGATTTGAGCATGATTTTGCTCTTTTGAATTTGAGTTTGGTTTTACTCTGAAAAACTAATAAAAAATTTGAGTGTGGTTTACTCTGAAAGACCAAGAGATTTGAGTGTGGTTTACTCTGAAAGACCAATAAAAGATTTGAGTGTGGTTTACTCTGAAAAACCAATATTTGATTGGAGCTCGGTTTTGCTCTGGAAAAACCAAAATTATTATATTTGCAGGTTCGAAAAGAATGACGTTCCTGCTTGATTGATTGATGACTGATGAGTTCGAAAAGATGAACGTTCTCATCATTGAAAAAGAAGAAAAAAAATTGAAGGCGACATCACAAGAGTGTGCATCTCGGCTTCAACAAAGTGAATAATTTCCAATCGCAACGTTCGTGTTACTGCCGTTACGATTGCGGGAGGGTGTTAGAGATATCGGAAAATATATGTGTGATATATTTTCCGTAGATATCATTTAAGTAAATAATATATTTAATTAGAATATTTATGTTAAGATATTATTTTGAGAATATATCTTTAGGGTTTATGGTTAGACGTATATCTTTTAGGAAGATTGTTTCCTATCTTATGAGTATAGGTTTTGTATAAATACTCAACCTATTGATGAATAATAATCAAGCCATTCTATTCTATTTCTCTCTAATTTGTCACAATTCTTGAGGTGCTTGGGTCTCGACTCTGGAGGTGCTTGTTTTTCGGGTTCATGGCGTCTTAAGCCGGGAACATGGGCAAGGTGGTTGTGGGAAAGGTGTGCTAGTGATAAGGGGCTAACCTTCTCGACCATGATAAGGGGCTAATCAAAACGTAGCAGCATATTGATAAATAATGAATGGCCAGATCCTGTAATTGATCTAAAATGTGAATTATATCATTTAATTTTGGACAATTTTTTATTTTTCAAATCCATTAAGAAAAGGGAATTGGGGTGCTTCCCACGTATCTCTCGAGGGTCGAGGTCCCATGAAACCAGTAGGATTATTTAAAACAATTTGCTTTATCTTTAAAATGTCAATTTAGTCAATTATGTATACACCTTTCATTAACTCAATGTCACTTTGCCTTTATATGGCCAATCACTAGCACCATTTGGTTCAAAACAACATTATATGACACCAAAATTCATCTTCTATCATCACTTAAATTTTCAACATTGGAAAATAGGCAAATTTCAAGAACCGAAGCCTTAAAATTTAACCAATTACAAAGTTTTTAAGATATAATGTCGAATACAAATGTGATGACATAGGATGCACCAAGGGATGCACATAACCAACTAAATTGATAGTTTAAAGACAAAGTAGACGACCCTACATCCATCTCTTGCGTGTAAGTAATCCATTCCACAAGTTTTCTTCATATTATTTCCACCAATTCTAATTACCATCTCACCTACAGAGTAATAGATATTGCTGATTTATACTCCATCTCGGCCACTCGGATAATGAAACGAGCATCTAGATGCAGAGCAAAGTAGTATACTTGCAAATAAATTCCTCGAGACGATTTGTTCAGTCAAAAAACAAGAGTAAATACGATATACAAGACTTAAAGAACTAAGATATTTCAAATCATTATGAATTACAGTACAATTCTACTTTTTCCTTGACAAACTAAGGTGCACTACATTTAGCGCTTTCCACGAACTCTAAACGACGCTAATAATATCCTACTAAAAAAAATTATTATAACGCTAACAAGTTTCTTCTAATAAAAAAAAAAGTTGGGGAGAAAAAGGAAATTCTTTCTGAGGTCCCTCCAAAATAAAAGAAAACACATGGGGTTAGTAGTAATATAGAGTTGGTCCAAGACCATTCAAAGTGAAAAATGAAATGACACTTCTAAAAGCGTTAATCACTAATCACTAATTGTCTAAGAAAAGTTGGATGGTTGCCAATTCCTGTGCCTAATCCATGAGAGAATGATCTTCAAATTCAGAAGGTTGACTAATGAAGATTCTACGGCGGTAATACCTGGATCCTGCAGCTTCCCTCTGATTAAAAAAAATAAGTGCAGCGAAACCAGGAGCAAGGTGACTGACTGTACAGAAAGAACATATTTGGTTGATTAGCAAAAGACGGTCAAATCAATCATCTTTGTGGTTGATCTGTCCCGGCTGCTCCAGATGGATTGCTAGTTCCAGCGCCATTTTCTGCAGGAGGTGGGGTGCCCCATTGGCCTTCTGTTTCTAGGGGCTCGAGAACACAAACACCACCATCGGTAAGTCCTAATGCAAATTGGTTGGCTTCTGTGGGATGTGCTGCGATGCAGAGTGGATACACTCTCATACTGTCAAAGCCACAGGAAATATTTGCTTGTTAAGGCTACTTCGAGACGATACACAATACAAAAGTGTTTCACAATGTTAATAATTATGATACTGTACCTTGGATTAGGAGGTAGGTATGCATTAGGGTTAATTCGACATCTCAGTCTAAGATTTGAAGCAGTGAGAATGCTGACACTCCCATCTTCAAAGCTTACATATATTGACAGGCTATCGCAGGAGTAGGTGGCATGCGTTATCGGGCCTCTTGCTTCGGGAGCAAACCACTGATGAAGGTATATAAACTAAAGGTCAATTTCAATGTTCGAAATGATTTATAAAAGATATGATCACAAGAAGAAAGTACCTGTTTAAGGCATTCAAGCTTAGGAGCCTCATATATAGCAATTTGTGTTTCATGCACAGCCAACAAATGTGTCTGATCTTGGTGAAATTGAACATGCGTATCTGAGAGGTGATTCGTAGATCGACCACTAGGGATTTGTAAAGGTTTACTTGCTAACTTTTCCCATCCATCCATGCTCCAAACACATAGCTAAAAATTGAATGTAAGCAACCAGTTAAAAGGCTATCATAGGTACTATACGTCTATACTTACAAAGCTATTTAAAAAATGTACAGTGAACCCAAAAAAAAAAAAAACAGTAGAAGATACAAGATTGCTGTTAAAAATTCATAATGATTGCACCAAAATTACAGTCAACCAATGCCGTAGTTCAATTCTCAATTTGATAGATCCCCTTTTATTGTAACTATCAGTAGAAACAAATCAAGAGTTTACTTAGCAATTATGTAAGTGCAAGGTGCAACCCAACATCTAAGACCTTCAACATTTCATTTTCACTACTATTTCAGAAAAACTAGAAAACAACATATCATTTGTTACCTGAGAATCAGCCCCTGAAGACACAAGCACATTTTGAACATTTGAGAATGCCAGGCCAGTGATTCTCTTTTGATGTCCTTTAAGTTTTGACTTGACCTGTACAGATAATACATCTAACATGTCAGCATTGTCATGTCATCAATATCTCTAACAAAAATTCTTTAGTTGGAAATACATATATATATAAAAACATCAGTAGCAAGGCTCAGGACCTCATCAACTCGAACATTGTATATTTGAATGGTTGAATCTTCCATGCCAATAGCAATAATATTGTTGTCTTGAGGATGGAAAGCCAAAAATGTTGCTGCAGGTGGTGGGGGCATGAATGTTGTCATTGTCTGCATTATGGAAACCAAACATAAGGCATCATAATGGTTGGGTAAAAGCCGACCAAAATATACAAACTAAAAAGCACCAACGGGAACCAACCCCCTGCCCCAGTCTTCTGTTGCTGTCTAACCAAAAAAATGAAAGATTAAAGCACTTTGGCAACACACACATACAAATGCCGAAATCTATGCTACTTGGACTCGGATGAAGTGTCAAATTAGACACGGGTGTCCTAGCATCGGACTCGCCCATTTTCTTGAAAAAAGTTGTGTTTTTAGTTAAAAAATGAAGTGTCCAAGTGTCGGTGTCCAACATGTGTCGTGTCGACACGGACACGTGAGGTAAATGAAAGAGTCCCGAGTAACATAGGCTGAAATTACTCATGAAACAAAAGGATTTAAACAGATTAAATTTTAATACGATGCTCAATCTGTCATCAATAAAGAAAGAAAGTTGGCTGCACATTACATCAAAATCTCAAGGCCAAATTAATAAAGGCAATGCTAATAATGGACAACCTTGAGTTTGAGGAGTGTGTGATAAACTTCCCAAGCATAGAATACATAATTGTGCAAATTTTGAAAATGGCGTTCAAAAAAAGAGGGGGAAAAAAAAAACTGTAAGGTGGCATTTGCGGGGGAGTCAAATGAATGAAAATTGAAACCACTGACTACCTTGAAAGTCATCATATTGAATAAAGAAATTTTTCCGCCTGAAGCTGACATAACATAAGAATCATTCTTTGAAAGTGCAAAGCAAGAAACTGTATCTTCAGGATTTGTGTCGCCCATATCATTTGTCATTAATATCCCACTCGAAGGTTGCCATAATTGAGGGGCAATACTTGCAGTCGCCTGTATGTAGATATGTTAACTCCGAGAAATAGTAGAATACATAGTGACAAATATAAATCTACCTTTAAGAAAATACCTTGCCAGTCGAATTTCTGTCATTCCTAGGCCATTTCCACAGTTTATGTACAGCATTCGCTGCCAGTGCCAGCATGGCAAATCCTGAATTCGTATAGATCAATCTAGAGATCTGAAATAATAGAAGAATGATAATCAATATATTATGATGTTTAACAAATAGAAGGCCTTGGACAGTGAGCAGGAACAACCAAATACTGCAGAAGATGCAAACCCCCGCATAATAAAAGCACAAGAGAAAAACAGTTTGGCTTAGAAAGATCCGTATAAGAATTTAATTAAATCCCGATTAAGTAATGACTCATCAAAACTGTTCTAGCTATCGCATAAATGAAGAATATAAGTTTACCACATAGAAAGAAGAAAGAATGCTAGCTACATATCTATATATAGCTAAAGATGACTGGCAAGTTCTGAATGCAACCCCAACACAATTCAACCAGCTAACAAAAAGAGCAACAGTTGTAAATAAAAGACTTGGGACATTCGTGAAGTCTGTATAATAGTATTCTGTAAATCCTATATGCAATGCCACAAAAATTGGCTTTAAGTGTCCAAACAAGGATCCAAGCATTAGACACGCAAGAAGATACATGAGAAAATTACCAGGCATTCACCCTAGAGATAAAGGCTTTGAGGAAATTTTATTAGGTCCGAACTAAAGAGTACAGTTACCTACCCTCATTGCTGATATACTATCAGGCAGTTTCAGTGATCGGCACTGAGAAGATTCATTAATCTCAGTCAGCTTCCATATCTTCGATTTATCTGCAGACTCATCAGGAAATTTTGGTTTCACATCAACTAGGCTTCGATTATCAGCATTCTGCATAAAATCAGAAGAGAATTATTGAAAAAACAAGTGTCTAATCCACAAAGTTATATAGGTGAGAATGGTGAAAAAATTGAAACAAACAGATCAAAACGAATACCATAGCAACCATGGCTGGCACAGCAGCTGTTCGATCTGCAATACTGGCTCCCACTGCAGCATTTGCAGCAGGAAATACGCCCATTGTAGGTCCCTGAATATGCAAGTAATGTAACCATGTTGTCAGTTAAAAGCAGGAAACTTATTTCTAGCTCAAATAAAAGTAACAGGAACTCGGGAAGCATATTGACCCCTCTCCAGTAGACATACCTTGACAATCGCAGCAGAAGCAGAAGTAGAAGTATCAAATGGGCGATTTTCTACAGCACGAAGTTGCCTCATCCCATCTGTATTAGCTAAAATTTTTACACCATTGTCACTGGTTGAGACAGCCATCAACGTTCCCTCCTTGTTAAACCGAATACAAGGAGAAGCCTGGTATACAAAGCATAAACCAAGAAACATATAAGGATACCAAAATTCATAAATTTAGAGCCCATAGCAAAAGTTTTATAACAAAATAGTTCTAAAAATTACCGGCAACCCGCCACCAGCGTCAGCTGTAGTTAAAATGTTAACACTATCCATATCCCAAAATTTGATAGTAAACTCATCTCCAGCAGCAAGGAACCTATTCTTTGTAGTATCAAAATGCACAACTCCCACTGAGCGCTTTCCCAAACTAACGTACGTACGCTTGACTGTTCCTTCACTTTCATTCCATTCGACAAGGAAGGATTCTCCTTCTTTGTTGGTCCCACAGGAGAATAATCTTCAAGAAAAAAATAATCAGGAAACAAAGAAGCAGAGTCAACCCCATTTTTAAAATTTACTATTTTAGTATATTACTTTGACAAAGGGAGTGCAATATTTACCTTGACCCATCTGCACTATAAGCCATCCTTGTTGACGAATGACCTGGCGCATCATAATCTACTCTTGAACCCACATTGTCATACAACCAAGCTTTTATTTTTCCATCCGTTGCAGTCGAGAAAATAAACTGACATGAGTGAAGCAACTTTTAGTTTCCACCAAGTAAATCAAGCAGCTGAAGCTCATTAATCTTTAGATGAAGCCATACAAAGCAGTATAATGATACAAGACATTTTATTGATAGATTCCTATTCAGGAGGCGACCAAGTGCAGTAATTTAAATACTTCCTCCGTTTTTTTTTTTTTAATTACACCATTTAGGTTGGGCGCGGTATTTAGGAAAAATTGTAAAAGACGGAGTATGTCAAAAGTGTCCAATCAATCAATCAGTTTGGCTCATGTCATGGGATGTGAAAAAGTTTTACACTAGCTGTGATTGGCCTACCGAAACCCTTCTCCTTTATCCAGGCTTTGGACTGGCAGTGGGAAAAGGTGGGGTAATAACGGTTGTTATCACATGTGAACAAGGATAATTAGGGAATTTTGTGCACCAAAAAAAAAATGTAAAGAAATGGTGCAATTAAAATGTAACTTTCTCAGAGGGAAAATGGTGCAATTTAAAAAAAAAGGAGGAAGTATAACTCTACTGTAATGAGAACTCTAACAATCCATTACAACAACCACAACAACAAAGCCTTAGTCCAAAAATGATTTGGGATAAAAATTGCTGCAGTAGCACATTGGCATATCTTCTGTTATAGATAACAGGGAATATCCATTACACAACAAAAAAATTAAAAAAACTAAGGCAAATTCAACGATAAAATCAGATACCTGAATACTCTCCTTGTGATGGGGACATACTGAATAAACAGGTGATTCATGACCCTCAAATGTATACTGCTTAGCCCCAGTTACAGCATCCCATACCTGAACAAAATAAAATTCTAAGATTCCATTCCCAGTATAATCGACATTGAAAACAGAAAGCAAAACAAACCTTAATAAGCCTATCGTCTCCACATGTAACAATAGACAATTGTTTGTTTGGATAAGAAAAGGCAAGATCATTAACGTTGCCAACGTGGGCCTCGATCTGTATAGACAGAAACACACTTCATTGGCAAATTGCAACCATATAAAAGCCTCAGAAGCAAGGATGTACGGACTTGAATACTACTACTGATAACAACACAAACCTCTAAGTGGTTTCTCAGATCATTGGGGCCATGGTAGGAATATATATGTACAATATGTTTTGAGTATGCAACACCTGCATTCAGGGAAAAGCAAATACATGCATTAAACTCATACCAACCACCAGCAATATCACAAGGGAATAGCGCCCACCTCCCGCCCCCCCCCCCCAAACACACACACTGACACACACACACACAAATAAATAAATTTAAAAAAAATATCAGAAGTATGATGCCAAATATGAAAGAATATATATGTACAATATGTTTTGAGTATGCAACACCTGCATTCAGGGAAAAGCAAATATATGCATTAAACTCATACCAACCACCAGCAATATCACAGTCAACAAAAGAGGGAATAGCGCCCACCTCCCGCACCCCCCCCCCCAAACACACACACTGACACACACACAAATAAATAAATTTTTAAAAAATATCAGAAGTATGATGCCAAATATGAAAGAATTCAAATCAACAAAAAAAAAACATAGGTATCAGCAACAGCAGAATACCAAAAAGGGTTCCATCAGGACTCCACATGACACGATTAATGGATGCAGAGTAATCACTGGCCAAAGAAGCCTGTCACAAAGAATATCAGTGTTAGCATTAGCACGTAGTGAAGATTTGAACATCAAATAACATGCTCAACAAGGCCTTTTAGAAAAACTAACCTGCAGAGGCATAGAACATGTACCAAGTTCCCACACCTTAAAATTTCTATACGCAATTCTTTCCCTGCTCACTAATTCCCACACCATGACATCACCCATATTCGTCCCCACTGAAACAACAAAACAGATTAATCTCAATTACTGTAAGAGTGCAACAAAGGTCAGCAAAAGAGGATTCCAGCAAAGGCGCAACCTAGGAGCAAAATTTGCTGCGATGGATGGAAGTCAAGACTCTTGACAGTAGAACCTTGGCTCAAACACATGACAACATCTCTTGGCAAGTCAAGAGATGAATATGAACTTTGACCATGGCTTTGGTTGTATGCAACTGGAAGAATGTTGACAGGAAGATTGTTGACCTGTTCACAAGTCCAACAAAGAAAACAATAAACCAAAAGGAATTCTCATATCCAAAACTTTTCCAAGTAGAACTAGTCTATAAATAAAAATTATATAAAATGCATTAAAGAATTCAAAGCCACTAAGCTCAAATGCGAATATAATTTTTACTCCATTCGCATATATATGATGCTGAACCTCTGACAAAACTTAAATGACATCCATAATATCTACTAGTAATATATAATGATTCTTTAAATTATTAGCCACAAATGTAATAAAATAATCAATTAGAAAATAGCCATATATTGTTGAAATGATAGACGCCTCAGCTAAACACTATAGCATTGCATACAGAACCAACCATCACTCTGTTCAGTAACATACTAACATTAACGGTTACTCCATTACCAGCACACTGTTAATCCTTTGTTATTAACTTAAGTTAAAAAAATTCAAATGTGAAAACACTAGAACTTACTTTGACAACCAAATTAAGGTCAGTTCATCAATTGTGCACAAATATCATGGTGTTCCTCATTTCAGAAGCGATCATTCGAAACTCAAAAAAAATTTATTAGAAACATCTCTCCTTATCCTTATACTACAGAAATTTTTACCTTTAGGTTCTTTAAACTTTCAAACTTCAAGTTATTGATAATCACCTTTGATCTCTACCCATCTTAGTCAACATGTCATCAAAGTCAAATAATATACGCTTTAAAGGCATAAATATCTGCATAACAAGTCTGTGTCTAGCTCAAAGAAGTAGTGGTGGTGTCTGTGGCCATTTCAATATTTCAACATTTCTATTCTTTCAAAGAGGATAAGAATGGAAGTAAGCTACACATACTTCTTCTGGCGCTCCAAAAGGTCTTGGTCTCTTCAACACATGTTCAGAATCTGCTGTTTGGTAATCCATAGCTGCATTGTTGTTAGGAGGAGTCCGCGGACGCTTTACTATAGCAGCTTCATGTGCAATAAAATTTTGCATTAGAATAAGATAAAATTAGCTGACGTGGCACTTAACACTTTGATTGAAAGATTTAACATCATTAATTAAAGACATGGTTAAATGGTGTATACAGGGAAGAGGTTGAAGAACAATTAATGGAGTTATATGGTGCAGAGATTTTAAAAAAAAATTGGTAATCTTTTTCGAATTTACAGATGCAGTACAGGGAAGAGAAATTGACGCAGAAGATTAGTGGGTTGCTTTTAGCGGTAGGCTGTAATTACAAAATCTAACTGACATTCTTCAAAAATGTTACGGAGTATTTACATTTTATAGATTCTAATTGATTCTTGCTCTCTAGCAATTTCCTTGAAAATATGATATTTCGATGGTTGCTTTTAATGGTAGGCTAATTGATATTCTTCAAAATAGTTATTTGTTTTATAATTTCTAATTGATTCTCGCTCTTTAGCAATTTCCTTGAAAATATGGTATTTAGATGCAATAATTAAGCCATATGTTGTTTTCACAGACAATGAGAAACTTTGATGCCCTTTAGAAAAATCTATCATACAATACAATATTATCTAGAATATAATATAACGGTAACACTGTCATATAGGCAACTTTTTTTGTACAAATACCTGGATTGTTAGGAACACCTAAACCCATGGGCCCAGCTGAAACAGCAGGGTGAGGTACAGGAGGAGATGGATTTGCCATCCATCCAGCAAGTGATGTTGGAAGAGGAGCTGGAGCAGCCTGGAATGGCTGCAATTTTCAAAATACAACATCTGACTGACATTCTTCTATTTCCCAAGCAAAGATGAAGAGGAAAATCTTAATTAACTTACTCCATGAGCTCCAAGTGGAGGAAAAGCTCCAGCCTTCGAAACAGGACCAGCATTCATCAATGGATTAGTCACAGGTGACGGTGCACGTGCGCCATTAGGAGGTCCACACGTATGGTCCACAAACAGAGTTTTTATGTCAGGATTAGGCTTGGGATTCTTGCATAGCTGGTGTTGCCAATTCAAACTGCAAGTGCCATAGTATAAATTGTCAGCACAACTTCCAATTCCCAACCAAACCAAACAATTTTGCCTCCAAAACCAAAAAAAAAAAAAAAAAACAAAAAAATTGCTGACCTCTGATTGATAAGAGTCCTTAATCTTGAATTCCTCAAGGTTGGGAATTGAAGCTTGTCACGAAACAATGGGTTGGCTTCTATCAACTTCTTAAGTTCAGCAAGCATTATGCCCCTAGCTGACTTAGTATCACCATATTTTGACAGTTGCTCATTTTCTCTGCATTATTCACCAACAAACCCAATTCGGTGATGTTGTAATAAAACAGAAGGGGGGAGGGAGCCTTCAAGTACATTGCTAGCGCATACCTAAAATTATCCAAGGTTAATAAAAGAGTTATTTCCTTGAAGAGCTCTTCATTAAAAGCTGAAAAAACCTTTAGATCCTTGACAAGAATTTCTACAGCTTTCGCACGATCTCGCCTGCAATTAAGATACCAAATTAAGACCAGTAACATAAAAGCTCACTTCAATAAACATAACCAAAGATAGCATTACACCTAATGGCCACAGACACTCACTTATCCAGGGCTTCAAGGTACTTCTGCTTCCTGATTTCGAAAAAGATCTTCATGGAGTATCTATTATCATCAACTTTGGTGAAACCAGACAAGTACTTCTCTGCCTCGTCCCACTCTCCACCAGTCACCAATTCTTCAAAATACCTCATGTTAAAAAAGAACCCTGATTCTTGCTCCAATCTGTACCAATACATTCACAATATAACAGCTGACCATGATCAAAAAATACATTACAGCCTCAATTAAAAGCAAATTTGCAAAATTAAAAGCTACACTTCAGAAATTTCTATTGCCAAATAAGTAATGCAGCTACATTTCTTACAGACATATACTACTAACTTTAACTGGCGTACCCAAGTGTCGTCTAAGGTCATTAATGCAAAAAATTGACCTCAGATCCTTTTGCCTCATTAACCCTTCAAACATTATACTCCAAGTCTCCAACTAACATTGTAATTGGGTTATTTTACCGGTCTTCATATTTGTATGGTAAAAAACATTAAAAACAATACTTAGTTTCAATCGAATGTACAATTTCCCATGATTAATGCAGCTACAAATGCAAGGTCAAGGAAAGGTACCAAAATGGTCATAATAATTAACTTCAACCAATCCATCCCCACCTCCCCAAGTTATAAAGGTCTCAAATGTCCTGTTTAACAAGCTTAAATCTCACATATAAAAGTCGGAACCAATGTAACATAGTACGCAATTCAATTCAATTCAATTCAATTCAAAAATTACGGGATGCAAGAACGAAAATGCAAAAATCCGGAACATATCTCCACAAATTTACTATGTAAGGGTTTCAATCTCCAATTCAAGAGTTTATTAACTTCACACCCAACCACATTCAAAATCAATGAGAAAATTTAGACAGAAAATTTAGACTCTTATTAATTTGCCACTCAAGTACAATTAATTATAATTCTCTTAAATTTTCAGCAACCAAACACAACAGCACTACTACCAAACAAAGCAAATGTCGCAAAAAAAACAAAAGAAATTTTTTTTTTTTTCATTTAATCAAATACCAAGTCATTATGACGTCAGAAATTACCCATTTTTTTCGCTTTACTTAATTTTATCCACATCACACAAAAGCCAAAAGTTAACCATACTAAAAGAGGAACCATTTATAATCACAACAAATTAATCATAACAACAGCAATAAAAATCAAAATTTCTCATTTTTTATTAATAATTAACAAATAAAATAAAAATAATAATTAAAAAAAGAAATTAAATTACCTGTGAACACTATCCTTAAATTTCTCCTCCTCCAGAAACTGAAGTATGAGAAAAACAAGCTCTCTGCTTAACGACGTCATTTTCCTTCAATTTATTTAATTTTTTTTTTATTACAAAAAAAAATTAAAAAATGAAGAAAAAATCCTTTCTCCAATTTTTCACCACCAAATCTCAGATCGATTCCAGAAAATCACCAAATCCCTAATTTTTCAACAAAAACAAAATTAACACTAATTAGTAAAATAAAACCTAAAAATCTCATAGCAATCCAGAAAAACAAAATTAAAATTCGAAAAAATAAAATTGAAGATTAATTTAATAAGAAAAAAGCAAGTACCTCGAACTCGAAGAAGAAGTAGATCAGTTTTTTTTCTCTCTCTTTCTTTCAATTTTCTCTCTCCTCTTTGTTTTCGCTGAGCTTTCTCTCTCCTCAGATGGAGTTTTCTGGGGGTCAGAGAAGAAAGATGGGGCATTTATATAGAGTGAAATGAAGGAGAGAGAAAAATACCCTAAAAATAAAAAGGAAATTAAAATTATTTTTAAAATAAATTGAATTTTTTTAGAAAGCGAAGAAAACAAAGGGAAACCCAGACAAAATAAATACTCATTTTCTCTATTATTTTATCGTGTTGTGATTTTTTCGGGAAATGAGATGGTATTTTGAGAATTTGAGATTGGTTTTATTGATAAGGAGGTTTTGATAAGTGAGTTTGCTTATTATCTCGGTGATTGATAAGTAGGTGTGATTTTCATTGGGACTTTTTATAGAGACGTTACGGATTTTCCAAAGGCGCGTGATTTACGCGCTTTGTTAATGGGAGTTAGGTTGGACTTGGACAACTACCCCTTGAAAGTGACATTTCTCTTTTCTTTTTTTTTTTTTTAAAAAAAAATATGCTTTCTCTTTCCAATGTGTGATGTGTCTTTAAGGTTAAGTAGTATGGTAGTACACCGTAATAGGTACATTACACAATTAGAATATTAATAGCGATGTCATAAATTTAGAGGTGTTTAATTTTTGTATTGAAAATTTAGATATCTTAAAAGATGATTGTAAGTGTCGAATGACTACTACAGTATTATTTAATCAAATCACCCCTCTCTATTCCATTCAAAAAAAATAGTCTTTTAGTACACCGTAATAGGTACATTACACAATTAGAATATTATTAGCGTGGATGTTGACTAAGGATATGTTCTCTTCAGGTTAATTTCAATTCAGTTTCTAATTTCCTTTTTTCATAACAATTCAATTCAATTCAGTTCCTAATTTTCTTCTTTCATAAACAATTCATTTTACTTTAGTTTAGCTCAGCTCAGTTCAATAAGTCAGAACATACCCTAACTTAGTTGTTAAAGGTGTAGTCGTGTTCAGTAACCGCGGAGTATTTAATGGCTTTCTAAATAGTATCAAGGTGAGTACCTCGTGATCACTTATTGGAGTATTAGTCTTTGTATAACCAGATACAATATTAAATATTGAGATAAAAATTATCACGAGGAAATTCAAGACTTAATTGATATAGAATGTAGTTACAATCCATGCATTATTTTACGGAGTTATTGCGGAGTATTAGTGAAGATGCTGGCTAGCTTAGTTGATAAAGGTGTTGTCGTGTTCTGTAACTGCGAAGTATTTTGTGGCTTTCTAAACACCAAAGTAAGTTAAGTTCCTCGTGATCACAAATTGCAGTATTAGTCTTTGTATTGTTAGATACAGTATTAAATATTGAAATACAAAATATCACGAGGAAACTCAGGACTTAATTAATATAGAATCTAGTTATAATCTATGCATCATTTTACGGTGTTATTGTCGCACATTCATGACAGATAGGACACAACTGTTACAAAGGAAATTTTGGTATAAGTTTTTTTTCTCGTGTCATTTAGTATAGATACAATTGGTTAAACACAAGTATTGATCAAATGAGTTCATACAAAACTTAAACCAGACCATACCTTAACATGTTAGATCTCCTTATTTTCAAATATCGTTGTATTTGTAAAAAAAAATTAAAAATTTGAAATATATTGATTAAGACAAGTATAACAATATCACACATGATATAGAGTAATTTTTTTCTTATAGATCTACGTAACATTAAGGTCAAAGTTCAATCAAATTACGCAATTAGATCATATTAGAAAAAATCAGATCTAACCAGGCTCGACTTCAAAAGAATCTAGATTAAAGTACCTTATTTCAAGTAAGGAGAGCAAAATCGTCTTTTGTTATTATTAAGTTGAAATATATGTAACTATATGAGATCTTGTTACATTTGTTTCCGTACAAAATTTTAAAATATCTTTTAATCCCTCCGTTTTTAAATACTTGATTCACTTTCTTTTTTCGGCCGTTTTTAAATACTTGTTCCTTACCTTATTTGAAAAGGTTTTACAATATTTAACTCATTTCTCTTATCTAGTGGACCCAACAAATATCATATTTTATTAATTTCATGTTCTCTCTCATTCAATTTCTCCACTACTTTTGTTTTTTACAATTCTTTATTCTTCCACCAACCTCACTATCTCCATATTTTATAACTTTCTCCAATTTCTCCTAAAACTCCGTGCATGGAGAAATGGAGCAAGTATTTAAAAACGGAGAGAGTATTAATTTTAACAAAATACTTCCTCCGTTCTATTAATATTGCAACAATGGACTTTTTTTGCACTATTCATCACTCTTGTTTGACCTTATTATATAGATTTATACGCTAAGTAAAATATAGTTATGTGGGATCTTATTGGATTTGTCTCATAAAATACTTTCACAATATCAACTTTTATAATTTATACTGTACTCTTACACAATTATAGATATTTAGCATATAAAATGTGTTTTGGGATGCGTAATTTCCTCCTTGTTGCAATATTAATAGAACGGAGAAAGTATAATTTATGATATTATTAATACGGGGTATAAAATACTTGAATACATTTAAAAGCGTGAAACTCCAAACACTACTATTGATATTTATAAAAAATAATAAAATAAAAAAAAAATAAAAAAATAAAAAAAAAATTAAAAATAAAAAATAAAAACTCCAAACACTATTATTGATATTTAAGTTGATGTGGTGTACAAAATTAGACAACAAAAGTTAGTGAAATTGATTGATTATGTGGAGTTTACAGTAGAACAGTACAGTACTTGTAAAATAAAGGAATTTAATTTAAATTTATTTGTTTTGAATATTAGTTTGTTGGGTGGAGGATAGTGACAAATGCCAGACCAAATGTAAAAGAGTTTGTTGATTAATCGTTGGATTTTTCACATGCTGTGGGGAAAGTAATAATTCCATTTTATTTTATTTTATTACGAGTATTTTCTTTTACTCCGTATTTATTTTATTTTTAAATAAAATTACTTTTTTTTTCCCCCCTCTTGCCTTTTCTGGAAGTGGGATATTGTGAAAGTGTCGGTTGGTGATTGGGTATTGAGCTTTAGTGCTTAAACGATAGACCAAATGCATGTATAAAACGTGGCGTTGCTTTAGAGGACATTTCGTGACTAAATGAGAAAAAACAAAAACAAAAAATAAAAAAAATAAAAAAAATATACTCCGTCTTCCGGATTTTTTAAAAAGATTAGATGACGTGTCTGTTCATATTTACTGAACTGAACTAAACTAAACTTATTGGAGCTGAACCTGAACTGAAATGAATATTGTATGGGATAGGAGAATTAGGAGCTGAACTGATTGGAGCAGAACTTAACTGAACTAAACTAAACTAAACTAAACTAAGCCGAAATGAATATTTTATGAGATAGGGAAATTAAGAGTTGAACTGAACTGAACTGATTGAAGCTGAACTGAACTGAATTGATTGGAGCTGAACCGAGTTACTGAGTTGACCTGAACTGAAATTAAGTAAATGTGAACAAGCCCGAAATACCATATTGAATCATCATCTCTCATAAATTAAACAATTAACCTACTTCCAAGCAAATATAGTTGGTGGAATTCGAAGTTGTGACCTCAAAGTCACGAGGTGAATAGTTTGATTCTCCGTAATCCGTATTATATATGTGTATTCCAATATTCATACAAACTATATACTTGTATCACACATACAATGTATATTGAATTTGATCTTATAGATTTATATAAATATTTAATTGTATTGTTTAATACGGAGTTAATATAAAGTTTTCATTGTTTTTATTGATATATAATTAAAAAATTAATGATCATCAACTGTTAGTTTAATCACATTATTGCCATTAACTTCAAAGGACATGAATACCTTTTATAAAACATGCACGTGTGAGTAATTATTGGATGTATAACCCTAAATACGGTGATAAATTTTGTGTGAGTGGTAGATTAGCAAATTGATGCATGATAAAAGAACATCAATGGGGAAAAAAAATCAAGTTTTATTATTTTGGTTGTAAAATTAAATAGTTTACAGAGTTCAGTTAAGCTCCAATCATTTCACTTTAGCTTCCAAATTCCTTGTCACGTAAAATATTCATTTCAGCTCAATTCAAGACTTGTTCTCATTGACTGAACTGAACTGAACTGAAATAAATATTTTATAAGATAATGAAATCAGGAGCTTAACTGAACTGAACTGAATTTCAACGTATGAGAACAGACCCTCAGCTAAGTTCAGTTCAGTTCAGCTCCAATCAGTTCTTAAGTTTAGTTCAGCTTCAATCAGATCAGTTCAGTTTTAGTTTAGTAAATGTGAACAGGTCATTAGGTTCTAACAAGTTCATATTAGTTAATCAATTAATATCAAATAAATTTGGATATATAATTACTGTATGTATGAATAATTTGGATAAAACTAGATTTCACATTGACACTGGCTATTATTAAAAGCATCGCTCTTGATAACAAGCTAGCTCTACCCAAATTATTATCCATGTAGTACGTTTCTTACTTCTTAATAATATTCAAAACTTAAGATAAAATGTGATCTACTACATCACTATTCAATAGGCGTACAATTAAAGTCTCTCTTTACCCAAATGAACACACCTTTTTTTTAGGAGCATCAAGTTTTTTCCTAACATTTGCATGCCTTTTTCTAAAACCTATTTGCTAATTTAAGCCGTGCAAATTTGAATAATTTTATTTGTTTGACTACTTTTTCTTCTAAAGTAGTTTGACATGTTTGCCCACTTACTTGACGAATAATCTTCATCTTCATAAACTTATTTGGAAGATCACTATCATACGTTGACTTTTTAATTAACTTTTTTTTTTTTAAAAAAAATCTTGAGAACCTCTAGTAGTGCTTCGAAAAATAAGTTACCATTCAAATTAAAGTACCACACGGCAAAATCTAGTGGCCTATAATAACTTAACATATATGCATGCACCATTTTAAAATAACATAGTACGGAGTACTTGTGCTTAACTAAATTAAATTCTATATATAGGAGTGAGCACTGTGTACTAGACTCAGTTCACATTTAGGGTATGTTCTCATACGTTGAAATTCAGTT